AACCACAGATGTTGCAAGCAGCATGTTTTGCTTAGTGTAGGGGGCTTTAATGTTGCAGGCTGGACAGCACGCTACCTGAAATCTAGTACTACTTTATGCACCATTTGGATCAAGCGATTCAACTAGTGCATAAAGTAGTATTTTAAGCAACATGTTGTCCAAGATACTAGCAACAAATTTGCCAAATGGATAGCAGCAGCCAAGCATAAGAGGTGATATATGCATCACAACTGAAAGTAAAAGACTATACAACAACTTACTTCCATCGAAATAGCAACATCAGCCTTTCTTCTAGCCATTCTTTAAGCCAACTCAAGAGTAAGAAGACAACCTGCAGTCTGACCAGCTTGTGGCCTATTTATACACGACTACTTCCTGACACCCACTCATGATTAGTGTTTAATTGTTATGCACAAAATCATATTGCTTCTGTTATCAAGCAGCTTTCAAGACCACTGCATGGAATAGCCCTCCAAAGTAGCCTGATGGCAAGCATGATCGCAATAGCTTTTCAAAATGATTTATTACTGCTGGATTAGCTAACAGACCATATTAATTCCATTCTATAGATTCCCTATTCATTAGTAATAAACACAGTTAAAACACAATTTGAGGCCTTTTTAAACTTGCACCAGATTCAATGCACATATGATTAGAAGTGCTAATGCTTAAAGCACTACAATAGCAAAATGATAAATTAAAATTTTATTAATCTATTACTTAGACTATATGCATCAGTGCCAGTAATCCTACCAATAGTAAATTATAGTAGTGCCACATCCTGGGGAAAATTATAGAGGATGTGATTGTCCAAACATTCATGGTGCCTCTGGTCTAATCAAAATTTATTACATTACTGGGACATTGAGTCTGAGCAGAGATAGACTTCTTTCCGTCTCATCATAAATATCAAGGAAATGTAGCTATAACTGTGAATGATGTCATCTCAAGTTGCCGCTATTAGGAGTGACAGTGTGACACAGTACTATCATATCAACCCATTATTATACATGTAGGCTTTGAAAGACAAAGCATAATAATATGTCTTGTGCTACCAATATGAAAATAATCGCCTCACAGAGTCGTCCAATCTGAAATAGCTCCATTTAATGAGACTAACATTTAACTAGATCATCTAATTGAACTTGATGTAAAATTTTAGATCTACTTTAAAAATTATTATGTACATTTAATAGTTTTTACCTTCTTATAAAATATTTTACAATAGCATCCTGGAAAACAAGAAAGCAAGTACTGTACAACCCAAATCCTTACGCCCCCGCAGATTTGTTGGTTTAAAATTTCATTTTGAAAAATATACGGAAACGGAAATTAGTCCCATAAGTGCCAAAGGTAGTCAAACTCATAATTAAAACTCAGACAAAAAGATGGGTAGCTTTTTCACAAAACCTATGAGCAATGTGATGGACGAGAATATGAAAAAGCAACAAGAATTTCAGCTCTCCGCTCAGAAAATGCAGGTAATTTCTTTCTTCCTAGAATGTATGATTGGCCCTATTTTTTTCACTTCTATCTCTCAGATGGAGCGTCAAATGATGATGCAAGTACAAATGAGGAACAAGGGAGTGGCACAGCAGCTGTCGATGGCTAGGGAAGCATTCAACTGGTATGAATAAAATAAAAATTACCGGGTAGTTCTTATCAAAATAATTAATTATAATGAATGGGTGTGGCAAACTTTTAATTTAAAAATTTTGTTTGGGTGAAATTTAGTGAATGGGGGGGGGAGGGTAATCTGGTTTCATTTGCTAAAACTTGAGCCTACAATTCATGTCGTTTGCATCAAAATTTTAATTGGCTATTGACAACGACCTTTTTTTAAAAATGATTTTGTCAAAATTGCAGCACTGGCAATAATAAACTACTTATTATTGACCGCAAAATCCATCATAGTTTTAATTATAAACTAATTAATAATAACTGGCTAAGGAATTACTAATTTTAATAATGAAGGAAACATGTAGGAAAGACAGAGGAAAAGTGTAGGAAAACATTCTTTCTCAGCATTTACTGGCTTTTTTCAGCATTTTTATGGCTCTGACTTACAGTGTAATTAGGGGGACAGAGACACTTGGCACCATGGTTTTTTTTTTTTCAAAAAATGGCTCCGAAATCATCCCCAATTTTTATTACATTTTCTGATACATATTGATGTCCTTATGCTGTGTAGAAAGTTTGAGCTGATTCTGACAAATATTTTTTGAGTTATGAATATTTAAAAAAACAGCCATTTTCTGAAAATTACCCAAGGCTATAGCCCATGGTTTTTTCCAAAAAATGGCTCCAAAATCACCCTCAATTTTTATTACATTTTCTGATACATATTGATGTCCTTATGCTGTGTAGAAAGTTTGAGCTGATTCCAACAAATATTTTTTGAGTTATGACCATTGAAAAAAACAGCCATT